TTGGGTTTTCTTTTCCCAGATCGGGAACATCTACCGCAGTGCAAACCTTTTATTACATTTAATATTTGCAGCGCAATTTTTTTATCGTTGGCAAAAATAAAGGTCGGTTTATGTCGTAAAAATATATAGGTGCTTATCGCGAAAAGAATCGCGCGGGAATTAAAATCACAGAACATTAGGTTTATAGATGACATTATAACGACCCCGCTCACCGCTTTACTGCCGTTGCGATACAATGAAGTAAATAACTCAAACAGAATTAATCAACGCGCGAGCTTGATTGTCATAAATTATTGCATAATGCTCAGATTACGAGCGGCGTGATATTTATGAACTTTCACCTTTGAATTTATCATAAAGTTTGTTTTATGGAATTTTAACGTATACTAAATATATGCTTTTTTTGTAACTTATCAAAATAAGAAAATTTAGACTGTTTTGTTGATCAAACAAAAATCAGGACTATTTTAGCGTACATGGAAAGTCCGAAGGCACAATAAAAATGGTAAAGATGTTATATATGTCTCACAGATTCATCAATGGTACATAAATGAATCCAGACAGCATATACAGCTGAAATTTTGTGTGGTCGGCGCGAATGAAGGCGGAAGCGGTACACAGAAATTGTACGAGACAGTTCGGACGAAGCATTCACGAATGCTAACTCGGTTTATTAGACTGTTTTGGTCCGGAAGGAGTCAAGCCGGAACGATTCGTCGGACTTGTCATCGGACAGTACCTACCATCGCGGCAATACCGCGCCAGTATAGCGCCGGCAAATAATTCGTATTTACATGAACGTGTACTCCCCGACGAGGCGGAGGCGTTAGACCGACAAATCGAATTACAGACGCGAATCGCTAACCGCATCAAGTCACTGTCGGCTACCTTGCATCCCCTTGCACTGTCTAACCCTTCGCGCGCCGCCCGCGGATGAGGGATAACTCGGTTGAACTCAGTGTCGGTGATGCGCTGGCACACTACATAATTGGCTCGCAACGATTGGCCAAGACATACCGCGGGCGACGTTATATTGCTCAATAATGCGTTCAATTAGATGTCTAACACCAAATAGGTGGTACACGTGCTATGTCTGCGATAACAGCCGCGAGCAATATCGATAGATTCCGCTAAATATCTAAAGCTAAAAGCTTTTTTAATCAATCACATTTTAATTAGATGTTAAAGTAATTTATTGTCCTAATAATATAATTGATTCTTTAAAAGAGACGTCGCAATAGTTAAAAAGTATACCGACAATAAAGCAATTAGCTTCTGTATGATTAAAACGGCTTAAAATTCGTAAATGTTGAACAAAAATGAACAAATTAACTGCTAAAAAAAATATTTTTTTTCAAATTTATAACCAAATGAGTAAATTTTGATCTGAGCGTAATAAATGTAAATTCAGCCACGGGGAGTAAACCGCATTATGTAAATAGCGAAATCTATATTACGGAGTTATATCATGTTCATCATTTTGCGGAATTAGATTGCACTGTGCCTATCGCCATCAGAAACTGCATGATTTATTTTACGCGTTATGTAAACGCTAACCTATGCTTTATGAGAGACAGTAACGCGGTTTGACCACTGGTCAATGATGTACCAGTATTAGCCATAATTGGCTCGAATCGTATTGATCTAACCTTCATGCGGGTAGCGTTATCTCCTATCCTTGCTTCGTTTAATTAGCTATGTCGACAAATTTACATATACAGTACAATAAGTCATTTAGCAAAATTTATGCGAAAATCTACGCAACTGGCACAAATTTTTAATTACATATTACATTAGTCGGCGACTGATTCGTGTACATGTAGATACGTGAAACGAATAAAACCGATGATGTCGAATATAATCGTCAAATACGCGATAGAGTTGTTTGTTGCCAATCGTCGATATAATTGATCTACCGGAAATTTACTCAATCATAAAATTCCGTTGCCGAGATTTTTGCTTTTGGCGATTTAACCGGCAGATTAAATTTAACTGGTTTTAACTCTTTTGCCCGCGCTGCAGAGCAATTTAGCGTTATATTCATAGCGTATTTCGCAATTTCAAAAGAACCTTCTTCAAATATGTACTTTACCCGGACTTTAATTCGGTACTACATCACGCCGCATACGCATGTAACCACTATAAAAGCGGAATGTACTCCACAACTTGTAGTGCGTCGTTATAAAGCGTATAAGTCTCGCAAACTAACACGTTTGTAGATTCAAAGAGAGCCGACCTCCTCTGTAGCGGTGCTGGGGTGCCTAGATTTTTCCTGCCCGTCGTCGTCGGTACGATATCGACTTTGTAATTGAGCGTTACAGGTGTTCCGAACACTCGAACCGGCAAATTGTTCAATAACTGGAACGAATGTATATTTCGACGGTAAAGTTGTCCGAGATACGCGACGGACGCGGCTGGCGCTGACAGCTACGCATTGCGCATTTCACAGTCCGGTTTAATTAAGCGATTATTACTGCTTATTACGGAAAATATCGACGCTGCTCCCACGTGACTTTGCAGAAATAATTCCTCTATCGTATTTATAATTTCTGCAATTAATTAGACTTTGATTCAGCCAAGTGATAAATGCAAAAGTCGTCGAATACCTGTATAGCGTAACGCGTCGTCAAAAAATGGAAACAAAGTTGTTATTAATAACAAAGTTATTATTATTGCTTATTGTGGAAAATGCGTCGTCGCTGCTTTCACGTGACTTCATTGAAACTTTTCCATCGTATTTGTAATTTTTGCAATTAATTAAATCTTATTTCAATCAAGTAAAAATCACGAAAATTGTTAAAAATCTAAATAACCTGATGCCAATCGAAAGGTAAAAGCAAACTGTAGTTATATTATTACCATGGGATTCGCGTGCATAACGATTACATTAACTCTCGATATCATCCGATTCAACCGCACTCTGATACTCCGCACTCATGATTTCATCTTTCGCGTAAGTTCATTAAATTAATCATAAAATAGCACATGATATTTGAAACTCGCGCTTTGCATTAATTAATTAATACGAAACCATCACCGCTGACGAGAAATTGTCGATTAATATTTGCTATTACCAACTTTTAGCTATCGTACCTCATTTCAGCGTTTCTAATAGTCAGTAGTTAATGGTATCTGTAAAATCTTAATGACACATAGATCAAATCGGAAACTGTAATCACTTATTCACACGCTCTTTTATACGAATTTGCTTCACGTACGTTAGTATATAATAATGTGAATCTATTGTATATAATATTAAGTTGCATATCATATAAATTTGAATTGATTCATCATACACATCACATTTGCATGATGCTATCTTTTGTTAAAATTTTTACACTGCACATGCGAATTCCCCTTGCACTAATGGCACTTTTCTCTCTGCACATTCCTTGGCGCACAGGTCTGCCCAGGCCTATTTACTTTACAGGTATGTAAGCAGTTTGTAGAAAGACCGAATATAGTTAAAATGTGTGAATTATGTGCATTTGTTTTTTTTTTATCGCCGTTACAAACGCAGCATAATGTACTAAATGTGTGAGAAAATCTAAGATAAATATTTCACTACTGTTTTATAATTTTGCAGCAATTACTTCCTCATGCATTTTGAATGTTATTGCTGTCTGAGAAAATTATATAACGCTCCGCTCGTTAACTCGTTAAGCGAGGTTACGTGTTTGCCCGCCGACGCAAAGAATTGCGGTAACTATAAGACGTTAAACTCGATACTGTTTACTATGTGGTCCGAGTAATTGTCTTGACATTTACAGCATACATCCATAAGTTATAACGACTCGCTTAATAGATTTTAATCCGCAGGGCCAGGGACCGAAATTCCATTATCCCACATCCGAGTTACCACAACCAAGTTACGTAGCTTCACGAAAGCGCGATAGACCACTGTATTGCAGTTAAACTTGATTTACAATAATGTGCTCTGTAACATTAACAACCTTTAATGGTTATACATTGCTCCAATTATGTATATATGCTCAACGTGGTATCGGTTTATTGCGTCACCGTCGACTGTTTCGGCTAATTCACCATAACTGGCGTCCATAAGAGTAATATAAAACGTCAGTTCCGCAAGATGCAAGCTATAAAATTTAACATTATTGTTTCCCGGATGTTTCCGATACATTAATTAATAACGTTTTATTGTTTCTGAATATTAACCGTGCTGGCCCTCTGATGTAAGAACTTTTCGTGGGTAGACCTCCAATATTTTTGTTGCTCCCGACATGCCTAGTAGGTGCTCTTTTGTGCTCTTTATGTTTAGGTAACTTTAATTATTCTTTGGTGAAGTTCTCTTCAAGTTTCAACAACTTTATAAGTAACTTAACTACGGAGAACGCCCGCAACACTGAACCCCGAAGGGCCAATGGTGAAGGAGTACCGATAGAAATGAAAAATTTTTAGTATTGCAGTTGAAGCTCGTCGTAATTAGTTTGAAACACGAAAATTTACAAATTTCTCAGAAAATGCGTCGTATTCACATATGCATGAATATTTAAACAATGTGCATCTGCAATGCGTGATATATAGCGTATTGTGTTGTCACTGCTTTCATTGTACATTTATGTATTAACGACATTGGCATTGCGATGCGCTGTTAATTATCTCAATTGTAGTATTCTACATTATTTAATATTTCCTTACATACTACTCCTCCGCCTGTAACAAGTAATTAATTTCATCGTATAATCGCAGATAGATTCTTTGGATTTGCATGCATAATATGTAATGAGATGCCTAATTATTGATGACGCTTAATTGCTCGCGGCATTTCTAGTGCGGGCAGACTAGAATTTCACGAATGCCATATAAGAGAGAATGATGTTGCAGCGAAATGGATGGAATTACATCGATACGATCAGTCAATCAATAATCCACAAAATAAACATCAAATTGTTCGAATTTACTGATATATTAAATAAATCGGTTATTTGAGAAATCAAATAATTCGCCAAAATATGAGGATAAAAATATAAAATTATCTTTGAAAATTTAAAACCCAGACAACACGCATGTCTTTCAGATGTCTTTAAGATATGCGTGTTGTCTGGGAAGTTTTCACGAAAATTTTTTTTGTGATAAATGTTAACAGATCTCTAATCTGATTCTCGTATAACCGATTTAATTTAATTAAACACAACTTAATATCATATACGGTTATGCAGTGTTTGATATCAATGTTATCAGTGCATATTAATTAAATTTTGTTCTCGGTTTTTATGAAAATGTCACTTGCTCTACAACGAACAATATCCAATTCAATAGAGACAAATTTTATGTCTTGTATTTTTAGATGCCGGTAGGGATTCTCCTCCGGAACCTGCCCCGCCGGAAGTTCCACCACGTGGACCATCTTTGCACGCAACGCATACTTTACGCACGCAACAAAACCGAAATGGTTGTCCACCGAACGCATCAGGAAATTTCACTGTGCCAAGTGATCAAATGCCGACCGATTCGTATTCGGGTGAGTAACAGTTCAATCAATGCTTCGCGCATTCTAATGATACTCCAATTAAATTGTTAGACCACAAATGAAAAATAGCATAAATCATCAATTAATTTTAAGATGTTTAAATGTTTTACTTTTCTGTAAAAAACTCTCTTCTTTAAACTCGCATAACTGCATATTTATTCCTCCATAAATTAGCCTGAACGCGTATGCGACCGCAAACCGTGCAAGTGCTCCATGAAAAGAGCAATATAATAGCAATCCAATCGTAATGTGATCCATTCCGCTAACCCATGGATACCGTTATATGGCGCGGTTCAGTTTTCAACGGCGAGTGTTTAATTTGGTGCATGCTTCGGCGCCGATTATGTAGATGTGCAGACGCGAGCGCGGCGGTGCGGGGTATCTGTTTAAACTAATGGGGTGTAGACCGGGGGAGGGTTTGCATTAAAGCAACCGTTAATTCATTGTAAATATACTCGGCGTATATTCGTTTCTCTATATTTCTCTATGTACATACCATTAGTATATTGCTGCGACTAAATATCGTTTGTACTGCCCGTGACGATCCTGAACATTGGGGCGCGCGCGTGCAACGTTCAGATTACATACGCTCGCGATTAACGTACGGCTGCGTTCGATTCACGTACCGCTGCGCTAAACACTTGTATGATAATAGAAACGCGACATTAACAAATGCGATTACTCATGCATGATGGTAATTAATGAGACATTATGATTTGTAACGTTCGATCGTATTTATCGTTTGTTGCAATATTTTCCACAAGCAACAATTTACTATACGCGTTTAATTTTTTTAGAGAAATATTTATAAAATATTTATAAAATTGTGCACAGCGATATTATTACGATAAACATTATTCATGTTTAATGTGGTCAATAATATAATTTTAAAACGACAGATTTCTTACTGAAAAATGTTCTGACATTGTAAATTTCACTGGTAAAAAAAAACCCCCGAAAAATACGTAAATCCGCATGGTCTTTTATGCGAGAACAACGAAACGCTATCCAGCGCACTTTATTTCCACGGGATCATTCGAATTTTACGAGAAGTGTTTCGCCAGTATATCGAATGCGCATGGCTCACTATGCTTACACGAGAATTTATTGTAATGCATTCTCGATAATCCGCACCGTTTTAACGGAGCGCAAAGTTTGACCTAACGCAGCGGTTCTCTCCCGCGCGAAGAATGTACGCGCTCTCGATGCAACGCGATTTAATAATAACATACACAGCGTATGGATGCTGTTCCATACTAATTACTAATTCATGTGAACCGCATACTGCTAAAATTGACCTCAACATATAGACAAATCTTGGAATAGCGCTGTGCTTTATGTGAATATAATATAATCCTGCATTAAAACATGTATGCGCTGTGCGAAGCATGGCGTACTAAATCTGCCGCTATACTAGGAAATTATTGAAAGTTGTATCATTCATGCACACATACAAAATGGCATCGGGTTGTAGAAGTATGCTATAGAAGTAATATATGTGCACACAAATTGGCGTGATGCGGTAATTCCGTTGTTTCAAGTTCGTCAAACTGTGTTGAAGTACTAAAACTTTAGAATTATTTAACAGAGCAACGATAATGCTTCAAAAATTACGTGAAATATTTTCCAGGTATTATCATAAACATGAGAGAAAATATCCAACGGACCATATAAGCATCGCAATACGCGAATGACCATTTTTGTATGGATAATAAAGCAGTCTTTATCGCCGAATGTTACGTTTCTATTGCATATTTACAGTTACAACGCGTAATTAATTTTTTCGCTTACGTATATTAAATTATATGTGCGAATTAATTTTCGTTCTTTAATGGCGGCAGCGACATGACAATTAATGCATAGCTTTCCCGAAATTTGCAAGCAAAATGATACACTCGCGCGTGAAATATATTAGATTCAGCTACAGATTGAGTCAATCTATCTTACGCAAATCAAAAGAATTATTAACGACATTGTACGAGGAAATAAAAAATCGCGTAATCTGAAGTTATTGAAAGCATTCTAAGATTATTTCAATCTCTGCACTTAATGGTAGAGCAACTCGCAAGAGGAAATTCATGTTACCTCCGGGATCGCGCCTAGGAAGAGACCGATATTATTATCTGGGGTACTTAAGCTTTGCGTATTTTTGCATAACTGGAAATTAGAAATAATTGTTGTTGCACCTCGGGGAGCAGCGGTGTCGCGAAATAGCGATGCCGTGCACGGCAGATAATTCCCTCAATGCCTTTTTCGCGGGATATGCTCATCGAAATTCACGTAAGTAATAACGGATTACTCTTGGGATCTCTAATTTTCCCATAACGGCTGCCCTTTATGTTAAGTAAAAATAAGAATTTCATTTTATAAATTTTCAGTACATACATACATTTGTTAAAATGTTTAATTTTTAGAATTTTACAATCTAAAACGCAATTTTATATTCATAGGCGGAACATTATAATGTTAAAAGATAAGACTGTGTTATAAGGCGAAGAATAACATAGTTGTTTACGAAAGGTGAAATGGGCGTAACAAGAGAAAGTCATGTAATGAACAGATTGGAGATGCACCCAGACTCTCTCTCTCTCTCTCTCTCTCTAAGTAAGTTATATACAGTTGGTTAATGACACTTCATAACTTTGCTCTAAGTACAAGTGGCCACCCATAGTTCTGTAAAGTTTACGCAGCGCACGCGAGCACTCACTCGCTCTCTCCACGCATCTCTTTCTCTCGTTAAGAAGCATTTACCAAGATAATTGTGAATGTAACTCTGGACCAGACTTGCTTGTCCAGCGACTTTATGACAAATAAGACGCTACGAAGCGTACAATGCGTTTGTGCGATGTACAAAACTTTTTACTTGGATTTCCTTAAATGCAGATGATATCAACAACACGACATTTTCGTTATAATCATAAGAACCCGTTCTTTATTCCTGTTCTTATATTCATAAATAACGATTAAAATTATGAAAATTAGGAAAAGATCAGTACGTAATTGCCCTTATATTTGAAATTCAAAGCTGATGAAGATACGAAGTATCTGCATTAGTAATCAAGTTCTAGAAGAAGTTTCACGTCGTTTTGATAATTCACGCGTACAGTATTAAACTAAACGTGAATTACATCGAAACTAGGCGCGAGGTCATTAACTGCTACCATAAGGGGAGACCGTCATACGCTGCTTTAACCCGAGTGATTTCCTAGAAAGTGCCGCCTCGCGATATGACGCTTCAAAGGACCCCTTTAATCGTTTCAAGCTCCAGGAACAGGAATTTCTACTACCGCGTCTTCTCCTCTCCGAACTTTCGCATCCTACGAAGGATGAACTCGATCTACGAGCCGTTGTTTGCTCGCGCGGGGTGAAAGGCGGGCAAATGTTTGCTTTCTTCTGGGGTTCCTCGCTTCCTAATGTCTTGCCGACGCAAACACCGCGCGCCGTAAAGTGGACGGAAATTTTATTAGTATAATCGTCGCATTAATACCGAGGTCATTGCACACGCGAGAAAGTGAATACGGCGGTGGGGTGTAAAAGGCGCGGAAAGTAACGCCTTGGGTCGGTTGGTTGACCGGAGAGACGGTCGCGGATACAGAGAACAAGGACTGCGCGACGCTTTGTGCCCGCCTGCTGGAATCGCTCTGTATTAATTACCGGCTCGCTAATTACTATTTATTAGAGACCGGCGCACACGCCACGTCGGGCCGTGCCGAGCCGCGCTATTATCGCTTCGCTTCGAACGAGTACCTACGTCGTAGCGTCGTTTCGAGGCAACTTCGTTACGCCATCGATTACATCTTGCACCGGCGCTGAAGAACATTGAAGCGATCTCAAACCCGATCCTCTCGAGCATCCCTTAACGCGTATCGATCCTCTTTCGCATCGAGCATCCAGATTGTCCTTTTACGTCTCATATACACGACAGCTCAGAAAATTACGCCATACATTTTGCACGCTATCGTCGAATAATGAATGCACATTGCGTCCTCGTATCTGGCATCGACAAAGGGAGAGATGTGACGTTTAAAACTCTAATAAGTAAATAATTAAATTTATAGCGAGTGTGTTTAAAAGGCACACTACGCTTCCGCGTAGTTACTATGAAAGAAGAAAGTTTACGACGGCGAGATAGCGCGTACCGTGACAAATTGCCTTTAACCTATTGCGCGTTGGCTTAAGGATATGCAAGATACATCTTCAGCGATAAGTAAAACGAGGACACGAGCAACGAGAATATAATAGGACGCTTTTTCTACAATTTATAGAATGTTCAGAAAAGAATGTGGAAGCGAGTGAGTATGTAGATTCATCGACTATTAAATTCTCACTTCGCTTGTGAATTCAGCAGCGTCTGACTTACTGCTAATATAACCACATTTAGAATTAAGCACATTGCAACTATTATTAGTTAACTGATGTAAACATGTATTTATTTTTATACAATTTGCACCAATTTGGAAAGACATTCCATTAGCAAAATTAAAAATTATAAGAATTAAAGTAGCGAACTAGTAAGATTCAATGCGATTAACTGTCCAAATAAAACACCATAAGTTTAATTCTTTCTCTGATATATAATATCAATTTCTTCAGAAAAAAAGTCTGCAATTCTGCTCGAGAAAATTATATTTAATGGATCCCTACTTACTGGAACATTTTATTCGGTCATATTTTATTCGTAAGTCCTCGTCAAAGGAAAATGCCGTATCAATTATCGGTGCTTTAAAGCAGGCTAGTTGTTGCAGCAATTATGCATGTAAAATAACGTTATGCATAATTAGAAATTCTCGTTACGAAAATTCATTATTGGAAATTTTATTATTTTATACCGAACTTACGATATTTCCACAATATATACAACTCTATCTTAATCTTCTTCGTCGATAATTTTTTTTTGTTCGTTGAAATACATATTTCAACAAAAATCCGTGCAAGCACGAAGTAAAATATAAGCTTTCCCAATTTAACAAGCACGCGAGAGACGACTTGTAGTACGTCGATATTCTGTCTTCAGCCGAAAGGAGGCTATTTCGAGAAGTAGCATGAGATTAACTCGATCCCGCGAAATGATACGACCTCTCAAAGCGGACAAACGTGATGTCGTAGCTGCGTCCGGTGCGCCACTTCGACCATGCAGAAGATAGATATGGCCGGTGGAATAAACATGGAACCGCGCAGAAGCCACTTCATATTTCAGAGCATCCGAGTGAACTTCTGTAACGGTGGACGCGCATTAGACAGACTAATCCCGGCGGTATAGGGTCTGCACTAGTTTCGCGCAATTTCCGTCGTTCCTGCATCCACCGGCCACCGCTGATTACCTACACCGCACACATCCACCGGTTACGTCGTTTTGCTTATTTTGCTTTAAATAGAGATATTTTGGAGCAGACAGAAGAGAAAGAGAGAGAGAGAGAGAGAGGCGCGGCAACCGGGAAGAGAAACTCTCTCGTATTAAGGTCGCACGCGCGGCCGGATATAGTGCGCGAGCGGGAACGGGAAGCCTCCAGCATTATTCTAATAAGAATTATAGCTTATGATAAATATCGTGGCTGGACTCTCGAACGTTTCTGCGGGAAGTTGCGGAAGCGATACGACTGGCTCGATTCATTGATTATCCATTACTGCGAAACACGCGCCGAAGGTAATGAACGTAATCAAATATAAACGCGCAACTTTTCGCCATTTCGTGGAAGACGGTAGAGAGTAATATATATCGGGCGCATGATAACCATAGTAATACAACGTAAAATTCGCCACCGCGAGTAGAGTTTTACTTAATCACTTAATCTTCTAAATTGCATCTTCTAATTGTTCAATTTTAACTTTCAGAATTTAAGGACACATTCCTTTTATGCGCAAAAGAACCGTGCACACTTGAACATTCAAAGCAAACGAGTCGCATTCTCGACACACATCCTGACGGCCTAACAGTGTTTTCCTACTTGCGTGAGGCGTTTCTTCCTATAAATCCTCGGCCTTACCCTTACTGTCTTCTCCTCCTCTCTCCGTCTTCCGCTTCGACCTTCTTTCCTCGTCGTGCACTATCCCCCTAACCTTCGTCCACCTAACCGCCCCTACTGAGTTTCCTCATTGTGGTACCAAGCGGCATAACTCAAACTGTCCTCGTGGTACCGATGCGAGGCTTGGATTTAGCGCGAGATCTTATCGTCCAGACAACAATAGCGCCGCTGCCTGAGAGAATCGAAATACTTATCGTCTACTTGACTTGCCCGGAAATTTATAAGATGTCCGCAAACTAGAATGAGAGCCCGTCTTCACTCTCGTAATAATGTATCAGATGTTACGAAATTTTTAGTCTATAATATATATTAAAAAAGTAATGACAATTAATTGACCAACGAATAGAAATGATGAACAAAAATTTAAAATATATGTTGTTAATTGCAAAGCGAGTACTTATAGTCATCTACATTTATTATAATTATTTCTTGCTAAAAAAATTAATAATTTTCATTCAAAAATGGCCATAATTGCGTACTTTATTACGGAAAATTACAAAATTCTGCTCTGTACTTCCACAGCCTGCAATGTAAATGTAAATTTGGCTAGTTAAGAATGTTTGTGGGATGGAATTCATTAAAATATGATCGTCGAATTATACTCATTTGTTTCCGATCGACAAAAATAAAACCGCGACGGTACAAATAACGTTACAGCACAACAACGCACACTTCTATGAAAAATATGGAAATGATGGGGGTGGCATTAATGCTACATTTAATGCGGTGCGCTTACGTGTCGCGATTATCGAATTTACGCCTTGAATCGAATATTAGCTTCCGGAAAAATATTGCAGCAGCGGAACACCCACTTTCGGCTGAAAGCAATTTTCAGCTTAAAGGCTTCCACGGCTTTTATAGCGTCGATATATTTTTCCAATAATATCTGTACGCAGACGACTGCCTATGGTTCGAGCGCGGCCGGATGGCGCGAGAAAGTCCGTCCGCGGAACGTAGAAACGAGATAGAATAGTTTACAATCAAAATCCAGCAAGCGAAGCAGACTCTTAAGCAACCTCCATCTCGCGGTTAAAAGTGAAATCGAATTTCCGCTTACGGAGACTTTTTCTTAATATAATAACCAACTTCCGAGTTTTGCAACCATCCTGAGCGGGAATTCCGATATTCCGCGGAGCAGAGACCGCAGACATTCAAAATACGCGATAATTGATTTTCGACGGATAAATTAATGGGCAAGACGTTCGTTCGCGGTTTGTTGCTCGAGGAGCGAGAATCACGCTCTGGTTTAAATCGGGCAAAATGAGCATACCGCAAATTTGCTGTAAAATGTTTTGTTCGACGAAACAAAACAATTGCATTCGATTTATATCACTGCTTATATTTCTGTTGAAATATGCTTGTCAATTGTTAATTATTTCCAGGATATCGTAGTATATTTGTGCGATAAATATCTCTTTTCCGAGGCGCACGATCGCAATGCTTAGTTGGACGCAATCATCTTATCGGCACTTCGAGACTTCAATATACCTCACAGTCGATAGAGTTGAAAGGACAAAACTGACAAAGCAACGATAAGAAGGTGCGAGACTGTAGCAAAGAGCAAGAAATTGTTCGTCATGTAATTAATTCGGAATTAAGACGCGCTAGAAACTGAGACAGTAATTTAAAGCTCACTGTGTACACGTCGAGCATCGACAAAATGTAATGGTAAAGCGAAAGAAAAACTCACCCTGATACTGCTGTTAATACTCCAAACAATCTCTCGCAAAAGCAGAGTAACAGTTTTTCGTCGGTTTGCTTCAAAAATTGTGAAATATCTGTTCCATTAAAATGCCTTCACAAATGGTGCCATAAAACGACGAAAATCTCAGAGCTATATAAAACTCATATTGACCTGAAAGAAAACATTAATTTTCACTAATACTATCATCTAAATGAAAGTAACCATCATCTCTACATTCATTACATACATTATTTCTATTTGAAAACATATGTAGAGGATCTGCTTCTTGTCGTATAATTGTGTTATGAATTGTCCCAATAATAGAAAAATGAAATTATTCACTTGCTTCTCACAGTTTAAATGTCAAAAGACTCAATACAAGTAATTTTCATTACGTGGCTTTAAACTCTAGAACAATCATTGTTCCACGTTAAAAATTATAATACATTCTCTGAATAAATATACTTCAAACTTTGATATCTATTAAAACATGTCAAATGTATGAGAAATTCAGTGCTTGATAATTTTTAAAACCGGAAAAGTAACTTGAGTGAATGCAAAACAATGACCGGCTATAAGCAGGTGAGACAATAGCGTGGCATTAACAATTTGAAGGGCAAATGCGGGAGAAATAACATTTACGGCTCGCGCAGTGAGCAGAGGAAGTCACGTCAGGCCAACCGACTCTGACGTAGAATTTATTTTCTCACTCTCCGTATCGAGATCGCACACCGATATTACGAAGAAAGTAAATTCGAAGCTTATGATATTGGCATACAGTTGAATGCACATGAGCCGGCAAAACGAATCGTAATATGAACGTGCCGACGCCTTATGTAATAGCAGAGAAAGTAATAGCACTTTCCCGTCTGTTTGCGATATTATATCGGTTCTCCAGCTACGCCGATATTCACATAAAAGCGCGAGGTTATCTTTAGCACGCATTCCCATTCGCGGCGATTTTGCATTGTTACGCGTGAGTAATATTTGTAAATAGCATGATAGAGTACGGGCGATCGATGGTGCTTTCACGGTCGTCGTTCGGCGAATGCTTTCGCTTAAAATTACTTACCCACCACTGATTATTCAGAACGATAACTCCGAAATACATTTAAGTATAGTGCCGCTGCCGTTTCGCTCCAGCCACCGAAGAACGTTTAGTCAACAGGAATTAAATTTGCGAGTTGATAATTAAAACGAAAAAATCCGCGGTTTAACTCACGCCGCTCCATAAATATTCAAATTACTGATAACTCGATCTCTCTCTATTCCCCGCCGCCTGGACGTTTATAAAGCTCGACGAGCTTCTCGCCTCTTGATACACTTTTGTTTGCAAATTCCGCGAACGCAATTTAGGAGAATCATTTACGCCAATGAATAAAGTTCGCGATGTTTTAGGTCGAAAAGCAAACGACGGATTTCGCTCTCTCGTGAAGTCGTGCGCGGGAGCCAATATACTTTCGATAATGTGTTAATTGAACAGAAAATGTACGATTCCCGCGCGCCACCGCACGTGTGCGCGCTTTAATCGTGAAAAATCTTCCCTCGGAAATTAATCCGATCGCTTAATACGACACGTAGCTTTCCTTCCTTCGTTAACATAACATGAAACATTATTTAACATTAATTAGAACGAGTAACTTCAAATATTCGCGTATGAACATGTGAAAGGGTCTGGTGTTTTTTTTTACAGTGAGACGTAAATTTACGCGCAGCCGCTTCGGGGGCCAGGGCCGACTTAATACAATTAGTAACGTTTCAGGAAGATTACAGAGGAGTTAACAGGTCCAGCACGATACGGGGCGCGTTTTAAATAACGATTAGAATGAACTATTATGCGCTTATCGCGGGTTACATAATGTTCCGTTAGTAACGATCATAAGTTGTATGCGGGGAACCGGCAGAATCCCAGAGGCGATGGCGTGACCATACCGCGTTATACCACTAGCTGCCACACGCGCGGCCGTATGTATAATGCGCCGTCACACATATACGCACAGATACGTGACACGTTAAGTTCCGCGGGTGCTCAGTGAGCTTCGTGCCGCTTTCCACGGATCGGCTTTATGCGCGAATTTCGTTAGCGCGAAAATGCGCTCGCGGGGGCGAAAGATTTTGCCTACTCACGAATAATCTTCATGATGACTGAAAGCGCTGTGAAGAGAGCGAATGCGCGTTGCGATTTAGCGAAATGAGATATAAAGTTATCCCCGTGGCTGCATGAAACAAAGATCTTCCGCCGCTTGTGTGAATACTTATTAGTATACGTTATATGATATTACGTTATTATATTATTGTTACCGTTTTACAAATTACTCGTTGAAATTCACCAAGTAACTAAAAATTACAATTAAGTAAATATTTAAAGAGAATATAGTACGATCGATATAAACTCGTTTCGAGGATTACAGAATGTAAGAGAAATAATACTTTATTATTAAATACCGATCAATATTTTGGCGGCTGTGACTGCGTATTGAATATCGAAGAATACCGGTGCAACAGTGCAGTGTCTCGAGAACGCGATTCCGTGGCGGAAAATCTCTCCCGTTCGGAAGGCAGGTCAGATAATCTGTATCGAGCGTTCACGTCTGCGATTCCCCTTAGGCGTTCCTGAATTAATATTCGTTGGCTTATTTCATTTCGTGCCGATGGAGGTGTTGCGTTCTTCAAATTCTCAGCAAATTGTCCCCGCGCAGCTCCCCTCACCATCCTTTTTTCTCTTTCACACCCTTTTTTTCTTTTCAACCGCTATAAATGCCGCACACCCGCTGGTTTCTTCATATTATTTCCGGCGAAAGCGTTTCCCCTAGCCGTTATTCACATTCTAGAAGCCACCCTATGTACGGCTCGCTATTGGCCGCGGGATAATTAGCAAAAATATCTGCGGTATCGACCTCACGAGAATAATTGCGAAACGTATGGCGCTAGGCTGCTGAAGGCCGACTGCTCTCACGTATCGCGACGAAAGTATTTATATAGTACATTACGTTTATAGTCGAGTGCGGAGAATCTGAGCCGCAGGGGATATTCGAGGAACGCGAACTACCTTTATTGCTCGTTATTTCTTTTCGTCCTTCCGCAAGTCTGGCTATGCCGGCGGTTGACCTTTCATTAATGTATTATTAGATATCTCCCTTATACGAGAACTCTTTCATTGCTCAATGATTCAAGGGTTTCCTTTGCAATCGCGTTTTCACAATTTTCGACGGTATGTACGTGTAATTTGCTTCTATATGAACGCGACATTCGATCGTTACGCAATTTTTAATCTCGCAAACACTCGATGAAAACTTGTATAAAATTTATTTTAAAAAAATAACAATATGTATTCTTAACGTAAATCAATAAAATATTTGTATTAAGAAAGATTTCCCTCGTACATTGACGTAATCGAAGTATTCAAAAAAATGCCCTTCCGCCCTTTCCGCGACGCTGAAAATTCGCTCGGGCGAAATATCAAGAGGATGTTCCAAGCTTAAACGGACTGTCGCGCGCGCGTGTAACGGTCATTAAAGTAATCTACTTATTTAATACTTCACGGACTCGGCGCACCATTAATTTCGCTAATTTCCGCGATCATTATGTATGTAACACGTGCAAGCTTATAATGAGCTAAGCTTCGAACAGTATTAACGAGGAGACGCCCTTTTATCGATTACTGCCCTCGCTGATGTTCCTCGTCTGCTTCACGATCGCTTAGAATAAGAACGCCCTCCATCAATATCTCAGTCGGTCGCCGCAATTCGTCTCCGAGATGCTCATTAGGCCACGAGCGAACTAACGATCTGATCGTCGTAAATAAATTGCAGATAGATATCTTCTGTATTTTCTTAAATTTTATTATTTGATAAACTTTGTCTATTAAATTCTCGCAATTTCCAGCAGTTTATAAAACTCAATTTGATCGAAAATACTTCTGTTTATTCGAATCAAATACTTAATCTAACTATGTACATCGAAACCATTATTCGTCGCTGACCTATAAAATATGCCTGAACTTTGAACTAGAATAAAATAATCATTTAATATTCGTATTACACGGTCTATTTTGCACGGAATCGCCGGCAATGACAGCGTGGTTGTAGCAGGAAGAAAGTGGCGCGGTTTCCATGCGGACTGTAGTCCACTTAAAGTTTCATGCATGGGAAATCGCGCCGAGACGATTTCAAGTATGCATAGGTTAATCAAAAAGCCGAGTGCGAGGGAGAAGATGGAAAAGACCGCGGCGCGCAGCGTTCGATTCCCGAGTAAGGTTCGCCGGGGACTCGCGGAGGCCGAAACAGCCTGTCTATGAGCCTACGATCGTTGGCAGCCGGCTGCCACAGAATTTAACACCGTCAGTGGCCGCAGCCGCTGGTAAATGGCGTGTAGAGGTTAAAATATAATGGCGATGTGAGCGGCGCGGGATGGCGCACCGCGGCGAGGGCAGAGCTATGCATAGCAGATTATTTCGCCGTCTCGGCGAAATAAGATATTGGCACTTTTCCGCAATACTGGCAGCCGGGATGAGAGCAGCGTGGTTCTCCCGAGAGACCCTCTTTAACGTTACTTTCAATGACTCGAGAGTAGTCTATTTTTTTTCTTTTAATGAATATTTACGGAGAATGCATCGAAGGAATTTCATGACTTCCTACGCTCGACATGTTAGTCGTTACACGCTGTCGGAGAGAATCCCGAAGCTATCTCGATCTTTTCTTGTCGCTATCGAATTCTAATTCTAGTATGGATGCAAATTGCAATGTTGAATAAAAAAATAAGCAAAAAACATCAGGATAAATTTCCAGATTTCCTCTGACTCTATGTAAATAGACCTCGACAGACTACTATTATCAAGACCACGCTTTTGTAAGCGAAAAATTAACATACGCCAATCTCTCCCTCTCATGCATGTTAATTTCATAGTTATGACACGCAATAAGTACTTATTTGTGACATATTAAAATTGTATTGATAATGACTTAATAGAAAAATTGATTATATGTTCACTGAAACGCACAAACCGCAATACGTATAAAAATCGAAATGATATTTTAATATTCAGTTTTTTTTATATACGTAAAGCATACTTTTTTCTGTTAATAAAAAATTTAATGAAAAAAACGTTCTCTTGAAAAAGTAAACTGATTAGTTTAAGCCGTTTTTTTAAATGGCTTTGCGAGTAAAATGCA